TCTCTCCTTCAAAACTAATTTTGCTCTATTTTCAATAGGCAGAGGGAGAAAGTCTTCCTTGTCATGCTGTTATAAAACATCCCGACTCATAGCGCCATAATCTTCTCGTGAAGTAGAACAAGTTCATATAAAACTGACATAGAGAGGCCTCCTATCCATTCTTCTCTGTGTGGCCAAGTCATTCCTGGCCAAGTGGGCACCATCATGGGCCAGGTGGGATGTCTTATCATTGGGGGCCCAGGCATCATGGGCATGTGGCCTCCCATGGGTGGCCTCATTCCAGAAGCAGGTCCTACTGGCATTATTCTGGGAGGAGAAGGGCCTATCATTGGCATCATGGGAGGGCCCTCTGGGGGTACTGGTATCATGCCAGAGTGAGGAAGACCTGGAGACTGTGAGAGGTGGGATCATCATGCCTGCAGGAGGAGCAAAGAATGAAGTAGAAAGTATCTACCCTTGTTGAAATGCAGCCGTTGTTTTATAAGTCAGGCTTTGCACCTGTTCTTCCATCCGCTTCTGATAGTAGTGTTTCACATATTCTTTGTGTTTCTACCTCTGTAGTATGTTTTTCTCACAGATGGAGAATCATGGTTGAGGTATGGATCATAGTAGTCACAATAAAACTTAGGCATGTTGCTCTGCAGGCCCTTGGCAATTCTGTTCCTTTTTAATTTTTTTTTCTATTTTTCTTTATTTTATGTTACTCGAGTTATTTGTTATAATTTTTTTTTTTTTGAGAGATTTTCACTGTAGGGCGCATGCGCTTGCCAGCCAGACAGAGAGAGACATAGAGACAGAAAGCGAGAAATCACCCCCCAGGGGGGATGGTCACGCCGCAATCCCTTCTCCTCCATTCTCCTCTCGGGATCTTGGGCACGCACGCACACGCGCCCGGCGTGAGTTTTAAGCCACCGGGTCCAGGACACGAACCGCGGTCGACTACGTGGGAGTCCAGCGACATAGCCATTACGCTAACTGCTGGTTCCCATAATTTTTCTTTTTTTATCTGCTTATTAACTGAGTGTTTTTGTAAGTTGTTGCTTAAAGGTTTATAGTATACATCTTAAACCTGTTATGGTCTGCCTTAAACTAATATTAGGATTCATCTTATATGTACTACTGATTTACCAGGTATATCTAATTTAAAAAAAAATTATGTGTTTTAGTTTTTTTGGGGGGGTTTTCAGTGTGAATCTTTAAATGATTGCAATCTGGGGGCCTGCAGGTGGAGTGGTGTTTAAGATGCAAGACTTCCACGTGGCCAACTGTGGCTTGAGTCCCAGACATGGTGACTTGAAAATCATGCTGGGCACGTGTACGTGCATGCCCAAAATCCCAGGAGGAGAATAGAGGAGAAGGGATTGTGGAGTGGCCATCCCCCTGGGGGGTGATTTCTCACTTTCCTTCTTACTGTCTCTCTCTGGTAAACACACACATGCTATGGCAAATACCTTAAACAGCATACCTTCTTTTCTCATCTCCTGGCCTTTGTTTTATTATGTACTTTATTTATCTTATGATCTTCCAAATATTATTTTGGTTTAAATACTTAATTATTATTATTATTATTATTATTTTAATTGCCAAAGAGTGCGTGTGCTTCCCAGAGAAAGGCAGATTCTCATATATATAATGGGCTTTCTTTGCCTGTTTTCCATTTAAGCCACTTTTTTCTTACAATGTTATATTTTTCTCTTATTTGGCAATAATCATTTTTTTTCTCTTTAGGTTTTATTTTTAATTTTAATTTCTGTTCTTTGGGCACTTTTAAAACATTTTTTTTCTATTTTTCTTTCAGGCTTAGGCAATGTGTAATAGTAATACAGTTGGACCCACTTGTAAAGGGCTTGGGTTAGCATCCCAGGACCTCCCCATGCAGCATGGCCATGACCCATGTTGACTGAGACTAGGGGTGGATCACAATGCAAAAACCCTTTTGGAGGTACCAGTTTCTCTCTTTCTCTCACTCTCTTTCTCAAGAAATAAATAAACCAGGGGAAAGGCTGTGATAAGCAGATCTGTAACAGAGATGAGGCAGGATGTGAAAAGGTCTTATCTTCAGTTTTCTTTCAACATTAGAATGAAACATGATAATTTATAAACATTGGTGGAGACATGGTCTTATCATTTAATTAGAAAGTGACCATGCTATGGAGTGCAAAGGGACTGCTCAGGGATGTGTCTTGCTTGTCTTCTGTCAAGGATGCATGTGCAGTAGTTAACTTTTGGAATATCTGCTAAGTTGTGATAAAGCCTTTAACTATCCTTTGTTTTCTTCTATTTTTGTATAATTTTGTCCTTTATCTCTTTCTGAATTTAGTTAATTCATTTCTTTCTTTCTTTTTTTTTTCCCCTTAAGCTATTTTTGCTCTTAGTTTTTGAATTTCTGAATCTGTATACCAGTGCTCACTTATTTAATTGAATACTCTTGGGTTGTCTTTGCATAGAAGAATAGAAATATTCCTGACGACCCAATATAATTTATTCATGTTTTCTGGGTTTTGTTTGCATGGGGACTGTTGTCATCTGAAATGTTTTCTCATTTTCTGTTTTTGTCTCATAGTAGCTTTGCATTGATAATATTTTGGCTGTTAGCAATAGTTTATAAAATTCTTAGTTCAAGAATATCATCTTCTACTGGTGAAGAAAAGTATAGTTTAATGAATGCTTTTCAGGGGAGTGCGGTTGGGGGGCAAGGGTGTGTATTTTTCATTTTTCTTATATAAGAGCCTAAGTTTCCCCCACCTAACTCTGCTTGCCATCTTCTATCACTAACACATTCTTTTCTAAGACTGACTCCTTGACTTTTGTGTTCACCTTAATTCTCTATCTTGTAGTCACTGCTCTGATCTACCACAGCTATTTAATTTTGTATTTAGTCTGATGGTCCTCATTCTCTCTTAGATGTATTTTTTTTTTTCTTGAACCCCTGTACACTAAAAAGGACTTGATGTGGGAACCACATGACTGGACTCTACTGGAAAGCAGTTTATATTTTCCTCTCTGTAGGTAATTTCAACTTTATAAGGTTCTCTGGCTTCTGGCTGAAAACAGGATTTTTATGGTAGATTTTTATTTCTAACTATTTACCTAGTTTTCTGGGAGTATGTGGGGAGATTCAGGATTAGGCAGCCATCAGTACTTTTAGTCCCTCTAAGCCTGAAAAATCTGTTTTCGATAGCAATATTTTTTTATATGCTTCAACTATGAAAAACTAATTTTGGACGTTTCTTGAATCAGAAAAGTATTGTGGCATATCACATGGCATTTGACCTTTCTTAATGGCTGGATTTTACAAATAAAGGACTTGAGGAATCTTTCAGATAATAACGCAAAAGTCTGTAGTAGAATAGTCTTACTATTTCTTTATGTAAATTATGAATTCCAGATCGTTCTTATACCTATGTGTGGGATGTCTATAAAGTTTGGTTAAAGTTACTACATAATACCTTTTAGTGCTTTAATGAAATAGTGAATTATTGTTACATGACCTTTTGAAAAGGTCAGTAGTACATTTTGTTTCATTTTTTTAAAGGACATTTAAATGTAATGAAAGTCAGAACTGTAATATTACCATGAAAGTAAAGGTTATGGGGTACATTTAATTGTGTTCCTCTGTTTTTGAAACTACTTTGAGTAAGACTGTGCTAAAATTCCACATGGTAATTTTTTTCAAGAATTTTATTACTGTTTTTCATTTTATACTGTTGGAGTAAAAGATTACATTTCTGTTTGCCTTTTTCTGCTTATTTTTGCTCAAATTTCATGCGCACTATCTTATATATGTTAGAAAGTTTAAACTTAACACATTTGCTTTTCTAGGAAAATGAGAATATATTTCTCAGAAGTCTTTTCCTTTCCTTAGACTCTAAAATAAAATTCTATATACTTAAATATATATCTAGCAAATGTTTAGATTAGAAATAAGTAACTTAATATATTACTGATTTTATTTATTAAAGGTCCGCTAGTGTGGGAAAATTAAATATACCCTGATATATGAAAGTATTTCTTTTTGTATTTTTAGACTGCGAGGCTTGTAATGTAATAAACTTATTTTACATTGTGATTTTTTTTCTTTTGTATTCAAAGCAATGTAAAGGAATTTCCTTTTCTATAACTATTTACTAAGAAATAACACTTAAATTTCTTTCACATGTCTACATTAAGAATTTCATGGTATTTCTTGTTTATGTGACTTCTACTTTTTAAAAAACAAAATTCTAAGTGCTTTTATTTTCCAACAATTGCAAAGGTTCCTACAAATGTTTTTGAATATTTTCCCCTCAAATGCAATATATATATATTTTTTTTTAGAGTTTTTTTTTTTCTTTTTTTTTCTTTTTTGTTATAGGGCATGTATGCTCGCCAGAAAGACAGAGAGATAGAAAGCGACAAATCACCCCCCAGAAGGGATGGCCACGCCACAATGCCTTCTCTTCCATTCTCATTTCCGGATCTTGGGCACACATGCACACGCACCTGGTGTAAGTTTAAGACACCGGGTCAAGGACTCAACCTGCGGTCGGCTATATGGGAGTCCAAAGACATAGCAATTATGTCAACCACTGCTCCCGTCAAATGCAATATTCTATTGCTTGTGTTTTTATTCATTTATTTATTTAGTTAGTTAGTTAGTTAAATTATAGGGTACGTGTGCTTGCCAGAGTGAGAAATCAACTCCTGGAGGAGATGGCCATGCCACAATCTCTTCTCTTCCTTTTTCCTTATGATACTGGCACACACACACTCTCCTAGAGTCATTTTCAAGCTGCTGGATCCATTATTTGATCTGTTCAGTAAGCCACATAGGATTGAACTGCCTTCACATCTGCACCACCTGCTGGTCCCATTATTATTTGTATTTTAACTAGTGTTAATTTGATAACTTTTAGAAAATAAAGAAAAACACTGCCTTTTCGATTTGTTTTAATTTTAACTTCTCTTTGTGTAAAGTGAAAGATGAGAATTTGAGTGAATCTTTGAAATATTTTCTACAGGGAAGAGACTTCCACCTTAGAATATTGTTGCCTGAAGATTTACAACTGAAGAATGCAAGGTGATGTGTTTAGTTGTATCTATCTCTCAGTGGTTAACAGTACAGAGTGTTGCCAAGATCAGGTTAGATGTGATAGGTTTTGTGCTGTGGCAGAAGTCAGGTTACATTGGGTTTTGGACTGGATGGTAGTAGAAAGGAAATGGAAACAGCATAAACTACTTTGAAGAAAAGGAGTGGTTACAGAATGGTGTGTGCTCAAAGAGTTGTTTTTAACAATTATATACACTTGAGCAAGTTAGTTCATTAAGGAGGAAATACTAGCAGAAAGTAAGTGGAAGATACCACAGTAAAGGGATAATTAATGGCTCTATATGACCAAGTTAGTGGCAAAGGATAGAAAGCATGTTTAGAGAGGGGTTTACCTATGGACAATTGAATTTCTATGCCACTAAGAGAGCAGATATGGGTGAGAGTAGGAGTTAGGCCAGGAATGGATGGAGATTTAATGATATAAAAGACTGTGGTGGGAAAACTTAGGCTTTCTATATCTATATAAGTAAGACTAATTTTTTAGAAGAGTTACTTCCTAGCAATATTGAGAGCACAGAGAAATGTCAGCCAGTTGATGAAAGAATGTTAAGTTATCACTACTTATACAATTTAAAGTATGTATTCTTTTTGTTACCTTAACTTGGACTTTTGAAGATTATATAATTACAACACAAGTTTGATGTATTATGATTAAAAATGTTGGTTTTATGTAACCTACCTTGAGAAGAATCTAGTTTAACAAAACTTAGTATTAGATATGCTAAAGTTAAAAATAAGATGTACAGTTTGCATGTCATTTACTGATTGTAGTTATTTATATTTGAAATAAAATTAGTACTGACAGTTTGAAGACAAGACTTTCAACAGTATCAGTGCTAAAAATTTTATTAACTTGTCAGAGTTATGTTTATATAATTTTTGCTGTGTACATGCATGTTTGTGTTAGCATACAAATAAGTTTTTCCTTTTAATTCTGAACAATGAACAAACCATTTTGTCCTATTAAAATTTTAGATTACTGTGTAGTTGGCAGCTGAGAACAATACTTAATGGATATGATCACATAGTACAAAAGGTAAGTCTTTAAAAGACGTTTATGGGGGTCCCCAGGTGACATGGAGGTTAAGGTGGCTGGGTCTCACATGGCTGACTATGTGGTTCAGGTCCTAGACCGAGGGACTTGAAAATTACACCAGGCACGGGAGTGTGTATGACCATACATGTGCACACGTGCCTCAAAATCCTGAGAGGAGAATGGAGGAGAAAGGATTACAGTATGGCCATTCCCCCAAGAGATGATTTTGCACGTTATCTTGCTCTCTGTCTCTCTCTTTGGCAAGTGCACAAACCCTGTAGCAAAAACTAAAAAAAAAAAAAAAAAAAAGAAAAAAAAAGAAGCTTTATATTTTATACTGGGAGAGTAAATCACTGAATTTACTTTTTTGAGATTTGCTTTGCAGAGTGTTGTTGTTACTGGCTTAATAGTTGCAGTTTTATAGTTTTCATCTCTACCTGTAAAATAGTATAAGGACCCATGTGTCAGTTTGCCATCTCAGAATCCTCAGCAGATCTCCAGTGAGCATTTGTGTTGAAACTGATTTCCGTCCTTGAGACTTTAAGTTCTTCAAATACATTTGCCTTTGTACGTTACTTCTTCAGTGATTTTTTTTTTTTTTTGCTGAGACTGAATAGTGGTGGCATTAAAAAAAAAGTTAGGATCCAACTTAGAGTTGAAGGATATCTATAGCAAAAAATGGGATTTTAGCTCTAGCCTAGCAACAGAAAAAAGGTGGTAGAAATTACTTAGGATCATGTATATTTGCATAGTAAGAGGAGATAAAGGCAATTGTAAGTGAGAGAGAGGCAGGATTAATTTTGTCTTTTTTCTTTTTTTTTTTGAGAGATTTTTGCCATAGGGTGCATGCACTTGCCACAGAGACAGGGAGAGAAACAGACATCCCCAGGGAGGATGGTCATACCACAATCCCTTCTCCTCAGGATTTTGGGCATGCATGCACATGCGCCTGCTGTGAGTTTCAAGTTATCAGGTCTGGGACTCAAATCATGGTCCACCACATGAGAGTTCAGCACCTTAACCACTACAGTACCTGCTGGACCCAATTTAGTTACTCTTGATGTTTAGGTTCCTCTGCCTGAAAATTACTTTAAGGACTAGAAAAATTGAACAACAGCAAAAAAATCAGGTATGGAACCAACTGAAAATAATGGAAGTACTGTTTATTGAAAAATAAATGTTAGTAGAGTTGTATTTCTTTTGATGCTTTATTCATTTATGTGTTTTTTCCAATTTGCTCTTTTCTCTATCTTAATGGCAATTTATTATCTGTAGTAACTGACAATAACAGTCGCTCTCACATAAATCATCATGGAGCTGCAAAGAAATAAGGAAATTAACTATTTGATTTATAGAGTGTAGGCTGTCATTCTGGCAGTATAATTACTGCAGTCTTTTAAAGTGGATATTAAGATTATTTTTCTCTGTTTCCTCTCTTCAGCACCCTCCCCACTTCCATAGCTGTCTGTACTGTATACTAAAGTTTAAGAAGTGGCTCTATTGAGATATTTAAATAACCTGAAAAAAAAAAACACTAATGAAGGCTAAGTGTAATAATAAGATCTGTAGCACTCTCTACCAGTTCATCAAAAAGATTTATAAAAAAAAGTCCCAATTATTTATTTCCCCTACCTTGAAATTGGTCAGGAAGAACCCAGTATTAGTTTGAATCTTTGTTTTATTTCAGTGTCCAAGTGATATTACTGGTCTTCACTTATTGGGCCATAGGTTTCTTCACAACTATTCAACTCTGCCCTGTAGAGCCAAAGCAGCCTTATATGAGAGGTAAATGAATCTGGCTGCTTTCCAATAAAATGCTTACAAAAGCAGGTATTGAGCTGGATTTAGCCTCTAGCCTATAGTTTGCAGACTTCAGCCATTGATATAGTCTATTATTTGTAGTAAACCAAGGAGAAAAATGCCATATAGAAAAGGATAGTCAAAGATCTTTTTCTACAAACATGCGCCCACTCAAAGCTATGTTAAGATCAAATCATATGTCTTCATGTATTGTTGAAATATCTTAGATTCTTATTTTTCTCATTTAAAAAGAGTGAACAAATTCACATATTGACTTTGTTTAGAACCGTGTGGTGTTAGTGTACTGCATCACAAAAAGTAACTAAAACACAATATTTTGATTGCAAACAGACAAATGAGTAGCATTCTATCTAAGAAAACAGTATAAAACATGAACATTTTCTTTGCTTTCTTTTTATTCTATACTTGTTTTAAAAATGAGATGGAACCATACTCCTGAATATTCATTCTACTTTAGAGGTTATTTCTTTTGTTCCATTTATTATAACCGGATATACTTTATTGAATGAGAGTTTCTTTTTGAATTAATATGGGTTACTTGTGAAGGACAAAAATAGCAACTAAGAATAGTATTTAAGGTAAAAGGAAAATAAAAATAAATAGTACTTTTTATTAATAATTTTTAGTTCCTTGCCATAACTAGACTTTTAAAAATTGTGTAGATTTTGGCCTATTTTTATATCTTATGCTCTTATTTCCTATCTCATTTCCATACCACCACTATTATTACATTATCTTCTTTTTAAAATAATAATATGATTTTCTAGATTTGCTAAGTGTGGCAATAAATGGTGTTGAAGGATCAGAGGAGTGCATGTGAGATTTTAAATGACATTCTTATAAATTTCAATACATGTTACCAAAATAGATTTATGGTCTTTAATTACTCTTTGGAATTGAAATTGGTAAGAATTGTAGGGATGATAGTGTATTTCACTTATTATGCTTTTAAGATATAGATATAGCTAATTTTTTTTCATGTTCATTAGGGCTTATATTTTATTTCAGTGTTAATAAATTAATTTTCATTTTACAAATAAAATTAATTGGAAATGTTGTTTTGATCCAGAGAATGCAGCACTCTCCTGATCTAATGAGCTTTATGATGGAGTTGAAAATGGTTTTGGTAAGAATTTTTTTTCTAACACTGTTGCCATATTTTATAAATCAAGACTATTTTCTATAATTTTTCAGAAAAACTAACATTGTTATAATTTACAACTTTTTAACTCCCAGTCATTTAATGTGTCCATGAATGTGGATGGTGTTTTTCTTGAACTGCATAAGGAAGAGAACTGGGTGTAACCACCAGTTTGATTGTTTTATAAACCTAGTACCGTTGACACTAGTGTTGCGAAAGTGGTGAAAATTAAAGTACATTCTTAAACTGTCAGAGAGTTAACATCTAAGGAGAAATTAGATAGTCATACTTAAAGATATAACTAGGTTTCATTACATACATATAATTATATGATGGTAGTTGTGTAATTAATCAGCTACCATGAACTATTTGATTAGTTTATCCTCTAGATGTTTATTACTTTCTTAATTTGTTTTCCTTTTATGAATTAGAGTAAGAGAAGGAAAGATAGAAAGAGGTAGTCATTTTTAAAAAATTAACTTTTTTCATGAGGGAGAGATACACACACACACACACACACACACACACACACACACACACACAGAGGTACCCTTGAACACACACACACACACACACACATAGAGAGGTACCCTTAACAGGGTCCTCCTACACCATGATTTTTCCCCAGTCTTAGTCAGCTCAAATCATAGGTAGGAATGAATATATGCCCAACACGTTCAGGTCAACATGGAATGTGAACCCCCAAGCCTCCTGTGTGCCTACAGTATTACATAGTGGTGCCCTACCGCTTGTATCATTGCAGTGGGGCCAAGATAGGTTTTTTTTTTGCAGCTCCTCCTGTCCCAGCCTCCCAATTAGCTAGGATTATGGGCATGTGCAACTGTGCCCCGTGTGTTCAGGTTGTATGGGAATTTAACCTGGCCTTCCCATGTGGCTTCAGACTTGCACCACGGCAACTAGGCCTAAACGCTTCCTATTTTTTTAATTACTGGGTCAGCAGATGGTGTGGTGATTACGTAAGGTGTTAGGTCACAAGTGTCCCACTGTAGGCTTTGAGTCCTGGACCCAGTGCCTTGAAAAACATGGTGGGCCATGTGTGCAGGTGAGCCCAAAATCCTGAGAGGCAAATGAAGAAGGGATTGTGGTGTGGCCACCTCCCCTGGGGAATGATTTCTCACTTGCCCTCTTTCTCTTTCCTTCTCTGTTGAGAGCATATACCCTATAGCAAAAAACAAAAATGAAAACTTTTTATTATCAGAATTTTTAATATAAACAAAAGAATAGGGATGATTATAGTGAATATCTATGGGCCCAGCACTAACTTTCACATTTTGTCAATCGTATTTCCCTTTCCGCTTTTTTAGAAGAAAAGGGCTAGAGATTTTAAAGGTACTCCTGAAACATTGTATCTATCCCTTCATAAATACATCAGTGTATATCTCTAATAGGTAGGTGTATTTTGTCAGTTTTAAAATTTGCTATAATGACCTGGACAATGTTAATTCCTTAGAGCTGCCTTGTTTGTATCAGTATTCAAACAATATCTACACATTATATTCATTTGGCATGTGTCTTAAGTAGACTTATAAAATGTTTATAATAGTACCTCCTCTTCATCTCATCTTTTTTTTTTTTTTTTTTTTTTAATGCGACCCGCTTGTGGAAGAAACCAAATGATATGTCTTATAAAATATCTCACATTCTGGATTTAGTTTGTTAGATGTTTCATGGTATCTTTAACATACTCTTATCTTCTTTATAATCTGGCAGTTAGGCCTAGAGATCTCAGCAGATTTTGGTTGATCTGTTCTGTTGAGAATACTTGATAATCTGTACTATTTATTGTATTATATCAGGGGGGCACATGCTCTTTGATACTTTCCCTTTTAGTAGAGTTACAGTTGACCTATAGGTTTAGAGTCCTCCAGTATAAGCTTCCCATTAGCTTATCACTGAGTGAACATTTTAGATTTTTGCAATAGGGCACATGCACTCTCTGGAGAGAAACAGAGAGAGGGAAAGGGAAACATCACCCCCCAGGGAGCATGACCATACCTCATTCCCTTCTCTACTCTCCTGGGATTTTGGGCACACATGCATACACACCTAGTATGATTTTCAAGCCTCTAGGTCCAGAACTCAAACCACAGTCAGCCATGTGGGAGTTGAGTGCCTTAACCATTATCATACCTGCTGTCCCCATCACTTAGTGATTTTAATGTCCAGTGATAATCATTGATGTCTACTCTTTCATTAAGGTTTACAAATGTGTGATTTAAAAAAATGCCATCGTCTGCGTTTATTAGCTGAAAGTCTCTAGAGGAGAACTTCCCTTCATCAGTTATTTGTCTAATTTGAGATACAGCTCATACTGGAGAGATGGGAAAGGACCACTGCTTGTATTTTTCCTCCTTTTTTACAAAATTATTTTTTATTAGGCCATTGTGAAAGTCATGACATATTTTTCCATGCAAAAATGCATCATACCTTTGACAACCCAGTATAATAATGAATTGATGCCTAATAACTGTCAAAGGGAAATAAAGGCTAACATTCTTAGTATCATTATAAATTCATGGGTTTTTATATATATTTGATCAACTTTTTTTTTTTTTTTTTTTTTTTTTTTTTTTTTTTTTT